ACTCAGTCCTAATTCCGATTTAGTCATATCCCTGCTTCCACCACCTTCTCTGCCTTTTTCTCTCGGATTCAGCATAGCTAATATTTTTAGAGGGTCACTCATATTACACCAACTACATTACCATGCCATTATACCCTGTGGTAGAAAGAAAGTCCTTTTATGGGGATTGCAACTTGTATAGACACTACACATCAAGGACCCTTTCTAGCAGCAGTGGATGGGTGGAAAGTTGAGTCTGCTTTTGGTTTTGTCTTCCCACCTAGAATAGGCACATTTACAGGTAGAGTTCTGTCTGCAACTTTTTTTGCTGGACCTATTAGCAAAGAACAAAGAGTAGGAACCAGCAGGCATTCAAACAGCAGGAGCTTTTCTTTCCCCACTTTTGGTATCCTTACTTCCATTGTTTAAGGATTATTGCCTATGCCAGGTGTTTAACAGAAATGGTGGTGGAATTTTCTCAAGGTGTTCACATTCATTTGAATGGTTAGTACCTTAAGCAGCCTTCCCCAAAAAAGGGTTTAGCAAATTAAGTTAAGCAAAACTATCGTAAAATTAGCTTAATTATTTTATCGTGTAGTCCTTCAATAAAATAGTATATAATCATATATGTTTTACTAATAAAAAGTTTGCAATAGAAGCTATTGTTCATTGAGAGCAAATACTATGTGCCTATATTTTGCAAATATTACCTCACTGAATTCTCAAAATAATTCTGATGGATCATTATTATTATTCTCAGTGAGTGGATTAAGAAATGCAAACTCAGAAAGGTTTTTTTCTCCCAAATAGCTGATAGAATTTGAAAGCAGGACTATCTATCTGACCAAAGGGAATGCTTTCTTCATTACATGTCCCACATTAAATATCACAGCGGAAAAAATTGTATCCATTGTCTGACTACAATTATGTATAAAAAATAATGTATACAAAATACTGGAATAAAATAATACCAAAAATATTTGCAGCAGTATAGTTGTCTTTAACTACTAGACTTATTGTTTTTCTTATTGTATTTATAGTATCTTTAGTATTTTTTCAAGCTATCTTCTATTACGTCAAACCTGAGCATTATTTTAAAAATAGAAAAGAAGTATAAAACCACCAGCAATAACAGCGTCTTCGAGTCAATTCCAACACATGACAACCCTATGTGCGCATTTCATTTAAAAATACTGAAATCCAGTTGAGACGAAACTGTATTATATAGTTATTATCTAACACTCACAGCAGCTGAATTACAATGAAGAATATACATGACCAAATGATACATCATTAAAAGAAGATTTTTGATTGCAAGTCTTTCAAATCACTGTAGACTAATGGTCCCTTAAATTAGGAATGTGTTAAAGAAAATTTTTTTTCTCCTGATAACTGATTTTAATGACTGTCCTGTAAGTGAAGTACAGTGGCTCTGTTTTAACACCCCACTTCCGTGTAGACGTTGGCAGACAGTAAAGGCAACTTGGGCTCATGACACCATTAGAAAATTCATTGCAATTGATCACAGTTTAAATTCTAAGAGTTTAGGATTCACTGCCCAGGAAATGGCGGGATTGTATACGAAAAGGACAGGTAATCATCCAATGAAGAGGGGAAGACAGGGCGTGGAAATCAGTGGAATGTACCTTGTCATTTTTCCACCTGCACATACCTCTGTCCATTTTCTTTTCTTTCCTCCATTTCTGTCTACACCAAGAACACAGAGTCAGAGACCAGGTAGTGGAGATGGGAGGGGAACCCAGCTTTCATTTATTAAAGGCCACAGTATAAAAGTAGCAAATCCTGTGTAAATCTCCCTAGTGTTTCTAGGACAAATACTATAAAGTGCAAACAACAGGAAGGAGAAGGAGAAAGACCTAGGAAGAAAGACTTAGAAGAAGACCAATGGCTAGTCCCTCTACAGGTAGCCATCATTAGTGTACTAGGTATGTTCCTCAAAAGTCATGTGTAAAATTAATTTTTATGTTATCATCCTCCTCCACCGCTAATCCTTAAGGATTGTTTGAGGGCCAAAATCTAAAAATCAAAATCATAATTCCAACTCTTGTTATTTTCTATAAAAATTATCTTGCCCTTGTCAATTTACAGTTTACATACCAGTTTGCCATGGAGTCAATTCCAACTCATAGCAACCCTATAGGACAGAGTAGAACTGCCGCATAGTTTTTCCAAGGAGCTGCTGATGGATACAAACTGCCGACCTTTTGGTTAGCAGCCAAGTTCTTAACCACTGTGCCACCAAGGCCCTCACATATTCCTGTACATGATACCTGCTAGAAAATTAGTATCCAAAGTATTAAATGAGAATACATAACCAGAGATTGGTGCTTCTCTATGGCTTATTATAAATTTGACAAAAATTTATTAACATTTATTAAGTTTGTGTAGTGGTAAAGGAAGTCTATTATACTCTTTTCTCTACTTTTCAATATGTTTAAAATATTTCATACATTTAAATGTTTCCTTCACAGGTGGTGGGTCTTGTGGGAGATTTCCCCTAAAAGGAAGCAAAATGGTGATCACAAAAACTGAAACCTGTGCCTTGTGAGAAATCCCACATACACGCTGGAAGCCTGGCTACAGCAAATGGGGCATTAGCAGCTCAGGCCAGCCCAGGAGATTCTCTTCTTGCTTTCACCTGGCAGAGCCCAGTATCATTCCTCGCTACAGTAACTCACGAAGATAAAAGGGAGTCCTTTACTCTTCGAGACCAAACAGTTAATGCACACTGCTGCTAAACAAAAAGAGGTACCTCAGAAGAAAGGCCTAGCTATCTACATCCAAATATTCAGTCACTGAAAACCGTATAGAACACAGTTCTTTTTTGAGGCATATGGGGTTGCCATGAATCAGAATCAACCCAGTGGCAACTGGGTTTTTTTTGTTGTTGTTATTTTGTTTTGTTTTATTTTTTCTCCATTAGAGCACAGCTAAGGAGCCCAACTGTTAAGCGCTTGGCTGCTAAAAATGTTGACGGTGCAAAACCACCCAGCTACTCCAAGGGAGAAAGACCTGGCAATCTGCACCTGTAAAGATTGCAGTCTAGAAAACCTTATGGGTCAGTTCTACTCTGTCACGCGGGATTGCCATGAGTCAGAATCAACCCGACAGCACCTAACAACAACAGCTTATAGCTATGTGAATAGTCATGAGTTTTGATCCATAAACCCCACTACATTTTTAGTAAAGAGAAAATCCAATAAAAGTATTCAAAAAAAAAAGCAATGACATGAAAAACTTGAGGGGTTGTATCCAGTATTTTGAAACAGCTTAAATATTCAGTCATAGGATTGAGCTGTCAGCTTGTTAGAGTATTTTCAAAAACAAACTCTAAAAAATAAAGATTGTAAAGAGTGATATATAAAATGTTTATAGTGTAATATAAAGTTGAAGAAATGGAACTATGCCATCAACCTGTTCCTCCGGTGTTCTTAGTCTAGCCTGACTAAACAGCTGTCTTGGTCTCTAAGTTTTCCTCATAACAATTCTCTCTCTTGTTCAAAGGGATTTTTGAAATTCTACTCACCATCTCCCTCTTTTTGTTTTTGCCTGATGCACTTGGATTCAGAATATTCCATATCTCTTTACAAAAGTCCTCAGGATATATACTCAAAAAATAAATAAGAATGTATGTTTTTATAACCTCCCAAGATCCTGAGCTTTTATCTCAAAACACACATATCTGGCACCTTGACGGGATGACACTCCTAGTGTCCAAAACCTCCTTTGGAGAATCCAAGCACTCTTTCTTGAACTAGTGCAGAGCATCACAAAGGGAGAATTTACAAATCCCACTATTGCCTAGTAGGTAAAAAGCTGTGTCTGAGATGCAATAAAGGGATTTTGGCCAAGGCTCCTAAGTGGCTACCCCTAAAAGAAAGCCTCTCACGCCTGTTACCGGCCATCCTGTCACATAGCACTTATTCAATACATGATAGCTAGGATCAGTTATTTTTATCACAGTAACAACTTTGTGCCAGATGGACTCTTTACACCAATGCCATCCCAAGCATTCAAGCGAATTAAAACACAAGTCTCTATGACTAGCAGATCCTCTGGCCCATCCAACCAGTTGCCACCAAGTCGACCCCGACTCTTGGTGACCCCATGTTTATCAGAGTAGAACTGTGCTCCACAGGGTTTTTCAAAGGCTAATTTTTTAGAAGTAGATCTCCAGTTGCCTCGGGATGGACTCAAATCTCCAATCTTTCAGTTAGCAGCTGAGCATTTCGACTGTTTTCAACACCAGGGACTCCTTCCCACCCACAGACAGCCAGAAAAAAAGTGCTCCTCTTCCCTTTCTGCACTCAAGGAAGCTATTCTTCTATTTTAGTCTTAATATGACCTCTTCTTCCCCCTTTTTTACACTTAGATGAGTTTAAACTTTTGAAAGAAACTTCAGTGGGAAGCTTGTTTGTTCGTTTGTCTTTCTGCTTTTTCAAGAAGGCCCCTGATAAAGAATCTGTTAAGCTCTCCTCTCCTCCTGCCCGCTCCCCCCACCCCAAGCTGGTCCATTCTGCCTTAACAATATGAAGAGCTCACAATTTGAAAGCCAGAGGCTTCACTGTCCTTGAGGAAGGTGATGTACCTGGAATGGGGACCATTTCTTTTTACTCTTTCCTGTTTCCTACTGTGACAAGAATCACAGAATTTTACATCTCAAGGGTTAATCATCTCTCATCAAGATAATATTTATTGTGATGCAAAGAATTCTAATTACAAGACTACTACTCAGTTGTAAAAGAATACATTAAAGGATCTATAACCTCAGCCCACAGAAAAGACTACAACTAACTGTTTAGTTTTGTACTTTCTATCTCATCTGTGTTCATGAAGATTAAAAAAAAATAAGTCCAGAGCGATGTGGGGAATTCAAACTATTTTAAACAAAAAACGAGTGTTTTTCAAGTCACTGCAAAAGGAAGTGTTTCCCTTCCTTCAAAAAAATTGTTACAATGAGCTCCTCCCACTTCTGACCTGTGAGTAATGGTGATTACCCTACAGAAATTCTCTGCGAAATGCTGTCAGTGTGAAGCATCCATGAATAACAGAAGGTCATAAATCAAGGAACTCAGAAGAAACAAGAAATGATGAGTATCAAGTTTGTCTTCACTTTGCTTCTAGCACTGGCCCTTCCAGGTAACTGAGTCCTGTCCTGCCCCCTGAGCTGCCCTCCTGGAGGAAGCAGTTAGCATGATGTGTGTTTTTGCTGTTGTAGGTTCCAGGAGAGCAGGCTGGATCAGACCTCAGGAGACAGAGATGTCTGTAACAGAGGGGAAATCTGTGAACCTCCTTTGTTATTATGATGCCTCAACTGGGGGTGCTGTTGATCTCTACTGGTACCGACAGTACCCAAACCAGGCACCTGAATATATCCTCTACAGAGGGTGGGGATACACTGGAAAAGGAGATGCCAGTTTTGCCGTAGAGAGGTTTTATTCAAAGAGTGCAGCAGACACGACAAATCTGTACATCAGAAACCTGCTTCTTGCAGACACAGCCACATATTACTGTGCGCTGAGAGATGCACAGACAGCATACCTCACCAGGAAGCCATACAAGAACACCAGCGCACGAGAGGAAGGACGAGGTGGCACACACACAGCTGCTGAATTTTTGTGGGTTTTTTTTTTCTTTTTTTTTTCTTTGTTTTGCAAGAGACATCATGGTAGTTAGGAGACATTGGGTCATGAGAATCCTACTCTAACTCTATAATATATAATCATAGGCAAATAGCTCTTGAAATTTCAATTTCCTGAAATTAGAAGTAATAATTCTACTTTATAAGTTGTTATGAGACACGGTTTTAACACTTGTGTTGAATGTCTAGCTATGCCCTTACCTTGACAGTCCTATGCCTTAGTTTCCGAGTGCTGCTATAATAGAAATACCACAAGTCGATGGTTTTAAAAGTTATTTTCTCACAGTTCAGGAGGCTAGAAGTCTGAATTTGGGCACTGGCTCTAGGAGAAGCCTCTCTCTCTGTAGGTTCTGGGGGAAGATCTTCCAGCATTCCTTGGTTCCTTGGCAATCTTCATGTGGCATCTATTTTCCGCATTTGTACTCTGTCGTCTTTGTGTCTCTGCTGCTCCCTATAACTCAAAAGTGATTAAGTTTAGCACACACCCTACACTGATAAGGCCTCATTAACATAAAAAACAAAACCTTACTTTTAGACAGGGTTACATTCACCAGTATGGAAGTTAGGATTCCAACACCTATTGGTAGGTGGGGTGAGGAGGGGAACACAATTCAATCCATAACATCCTAGATGCTCAGCAAATGGTGGGTACTATCTTTTTTCTTTCTCTCTCTCAATAAACTACTTTGGCCTCAAAGGATCTTTCTATCAATATCTGAGAATCTCCTATATACGACCAAAACAGAAAAATAATTAAAAACCTAAATTCATGCACCCGGGTCCTAGAGAAGATGTCTCTGCCTGGGGACACTGTCACCACACCAGGCTTTGAAGTGCGCTCAACAAGTCCAGCAATTAAAGGACAGAGGGGCCTTTAGGCACTTGTTCCTGAGTCTGTGGCTGCCACTATCTTGAATGGGAAAAGAGAAGAGGAAGAGGTTCAGCATTAGGTAGTGGGAGATGAGAGTGAGAAGTTGTTTTGGTGATGATTACCATGCTCCTATGTCAACTCTTATCTTCCCAAATGGTGAGTTGGAGCCAGAGTGCTCTCTACCACCTCCTGCAGTAATTCAAGCACCCTTCTGACAGACTCCAGCATTCAGTCCCTATCTTGTACAAAGCCTAGTCTCTTTGCTTACACTAGTGCAGATAGAATGTGAAAAAGGAAGAAAGATTTAAAGCCATATTCAACACAAACTCTGGTACAGCACCAGCACCTTGCAGCTTCCAGAACAGAAACCTCCAGCTCCTGCAGTTCACGGTGAAGTCTGCACCAGCCACACTTCCTGCTTGATGACTAACTACTCACCAGCCATGAAAAAACAAAACAAATAACTCAAATCCATTGCTGTTGAGTGGATTCTGAATCATACCAACCCTATAGTCATTAAAAGGGTTTTGGAAATAAGACAGCGAATCCAATTTTAAGCAATGTTTGTATTTTCTTCTACAAAAAGAGACCCAGGTAAAATGATAATAATAGTAAGTCAAAAAATAATGTGCCTAGAAAAATAATTTTCAAAGACCTGCTTAAAGTAAATGTTTTCCTATAAGAGTCTGTTATTCTTGGAGGCATAATTCAAGAAGAACAATATGCAGCCTCCTTTGGCTTCAGTTTGTGGGAAATTGTTATTTTTATACTCTGCTGATAGCAATGCAATGTATTAGCACAACCCTTTACATGGGGAATAGCTTGGAAAAGGATTTTTAGATTCTTTAAACAGTTCATACCTTTACTCCATTTCTCAGAATTTATGTTAAGGAATAATTTTAAATAGGAAAAAGGAAAGTATTTTCTTGAATAGACAAGAAAATATACTAGTAAAAATGTTCAGCCATTTACAGGAATTTGTATAGCACTTGACGGAATGTTCTACAACCATTTAATGAGCTAATTTGGAAATGCACTTGACATACAGTTAACTAAACTATAGGATACATATTTGTAACCATGTTATGTTTATAATAATATCAAATGATTGAAGCACATAGATTAAAAACTGGAAGGATTGATGTAAACATGAAAATAGATATTTATTTAAGGCGTTATATTTTTAATGTTTTAATCTTTTATCTTTTTAGAGTAATGATTATGAACTTGTTTTAACAATAAAGAAAAAAATTTTTTTAAGACTCTTAGCTCCAAACTTTGTTGCTAGTGTTAAACAAGTGAGAACTCTTCTCAGTCCTAGCCCATAGCGGTATGTTGTTCCTCCTCTCTTGGACTCTGGGCTTTCTGGTTTACTGCCATGCTGACTCCTCTACCCGAGTGTTTCTCCTCCAAGACCCACAGACAGAGCCTCCACTGAAATGTTCTCTTCGTGTCTCAAAGGCATCTTTGCGATGGACAAATAAGGAAAGGCTACCTTCAGCTCCTTTTGCTTTTTTCTGTAGTAGACCCAATAGGTAGAAAACTGAGGTGATTGTACGCATCTCATGGGAAGCCACCTCTGGCTTCAAAGAAGGAACGTTAGGTAAAGCTATAACCTCACATTGAATTTTATCTTACTGATTATTTAAAAATACTTAAGTGTTTACTTAATTTAATTTATACCTGTAAGAAATGAATGCCTTCTCATTTTTAAAAAGTTGAAACATTACGGATAAAGAAAAAGCCCTTTCTGATCACAACTTCATCTGATCTCTTTTCTCAGAGGAAAACACTACTTTTTGTTTGTGATGTATGCCTTAACACACTATGTGTTAACACACTATATGTTCTACTCAGCTTCTTCCTTTCATTTTATTCAACAAAATGGACTTGAGAACTAATTATGTTGATATATAGAGATTAGCTATTTCCTTTTAATTTATGCAAAGTAATTCATTGTATCAATATAGTATATTTTATTTAATGACACTAATAGTAGCTATACTATTTCTCGATAAAGTAGAGAACACAAGGCTCAGAAAGATAAACTTGCTAAAATTACACTGCTAGCAATTAGCAGAATAGGGCACAAATAAAGTCTTCTGACTTTAATTTGGAAGTTCTTCTTATTTCAGTCTTGTTTCTCATTCCCAACATGTTTAGTGACCAAGACAAAGGTTTTTTCACAGAAATCTAATCTTCCATACAGTGCCATCATCAGAGTTGGTGTCACCCAATGTGATAACTCATGGTGTCATCTTCTCATGCTGATTACCACAATATTTTAGCTAAACCAAAAAAAAAAAAGAAACCTGTTGCCATCGAGTCTATTCTGACTCATAGCAAGCCTATAGGACAGAGTGGATCTGCTCCCTTAGGGGTTTCCAAGGAACAGCTGGTGGATTCAAACAACCGATCATTTGGTTAGCAGTCGAGCTCTTAACCACTGTGCCAGCTAAAATACTAGAAATTTTGTCAGAATCAGTGACTATAAAAACACCAGCAACAATGAAAACGACAGCACATGCTTGTAGCACATGCAGACGAAACCATGTGATTTGAAGCATCATTGTAATTGGGTAATAATGATAGCTCCGACAGGACTGCAGTAGAAGTTTCAAAAAGTAAATTCGCATAGAGTTTTAGTCTTATAGGTATATTGATACATGTAAGCAGAGCTTGCAAATTTTTTTGTTTTTGTAACTAACTACGGGAATATTTTTATAAAAAGTAATAAATTTCTACTGAAACACTGCACAAAATTTTTATAGACAGTCATTTTGGTGTCACCTCCTCTGACAGTGCCACCTGGTGCGGTCTGCACCTCCTGTACCCCGCTAGTAACACCACTGCTTCCATAAAAGCCCTGAATATATGGATTCTTAAACAAATTACCACTTCTTTGCTCTGTTCTTCTGGCTGTTGATCAAAACAGGTAACTAATACCCTCACCTCTCTTATTTGAAAACTTTTCAATAATGCAACACTTTAGCTGATGTTGTCATTTTTTTTCCTTCACTCCTTTCTCTCCAACCAGAGAAGCATGTCTCCATTTAAAATACTCAACAACAGAGAATCAAGCCTGATACTTGTTTTCTAGTAGGACACAAAACAGGCATTAGACAGAGGTATAACTATGGAGTCCTGACATGATCAAGTACTAATGGTCTACCCAGAAGCCCTGCTTCTAGTTCTGTGGCTGCAGTGTCACATGACTCCAGTGCTCTGCATGAGGCAGGCTGTGCACACGAAGCAGAGCTGAGCCTGGGGCTGAGGCAGAACAAGACAGATTTGATTCAGGGAGAAGGCCTGCTAACATGTGCTGCCCAAGCCTGCTGTGGGCAATTGTAGCCTCCATCTGCCTGGGTAGGGACTGAGCCACCCTCAGGGCCCTGAGGTGGTAGGATGAACACCTAGGGAGATCTGAAAGATACTTGGGTCAGGGAGAGAAAAGGAGTGATAGAAACAAGGCTGTGCTTCCTAATGCTGTCAGAACAATCTCTTAAGACTGGCGGGAGGAAGGGCTCCTAAACAAGGCTGTTGCGGGTCAGCTGTCTGTGAGCCCCAGATCAGATCCATCCTGTTCTCTCCTGATGTTTCTGTTGTTGCTTCCTCTGCAGGATTTAGCAGGAGCCAAAGTATCACTCAGTCCCCACCTGAGATATTTGCACAAGAAGGGGAGTTTGTGACTGAACTGCAAATACATTACACATAATCCAAATCATGTTCTTGCTTGGTTTGGGAGGAATCCCAGCAGAGAGATATTTTACCTAATTTCTCAATCATCAGCAGTCTCCAGGAATACAAGGAATGGAAGATTTTCTCTGAACTTGGAGAAAGCAGCCAAGACTATTATTCTCATCATCTCAGTAGTGAAGCCAGGAGACTCAGGAGAATAATTCTGTGCAATCAAGACACCCACAATAAGAGGAACAATGGGAACTGCAATACCAAAGCCTCAGAGCTCACCCACCTCTAGGCTCTGCTACAGAGACCAGGGGAGACCCACAGATCCTAACCTGGAAAGAAGATTACAAACCGTGGACAGCATAGCTGTGTTGCAGGAAAAGCCATCTCCAACTGTACTCATTGAAGAATGCCTTGAACCTACAGTCCTTAAACTGATTCTCACCTTCAAATCTTAACAGACAAAAAACAAAAACAATAAGATATATATATATACATATAAGTTATTCCTTGCCTATCTACTCTCTTCCATCCCCCCACAAAGCTGAACAATGTTCAAAACCTGGTGAGTGTCCTTTCCCACCATTCTCCTCCTTGTATAAATTTAGGCAAATGTATATTTATATATGTTGATTGGTTAGTTGGTTTATATGCTTATTGCTTATATAACAAAATTGTTTTATTTTTCACTTATTCTTATCACTGGCATCCCTACAGGGCAGTGGATTTTGTCCTCATACATTTTAACTAATGTGTAATTCTTCAAGTATGGCTGTACTGTAATCTATTGAAACATTTCCGTATTAATAGATATTCCATTTTCTCAATTTTGGAACCACTACTGAAATGCAAGGAGGACTGGTGGTGCAGTGGTTAAGAGCTCGACTCTAACCAAAAGATTGGTGGTTGGAACCCACCAGCTGTTCCTTGGGAGAAAGATGTGACAGTCTGTTTCTGTAAGGATTAACAGCCTTGGGAACATTGTGGGGAAGTTCTACTCTGTCCTACAGGTCAGAACCTGCTAGACAACAATGGGTGTTTATTTTATTATTATTTTTATTATTTTTTTACCAACAATGTTGTGATATCTGTATCTGTATCATCTATATCTATCTGTATTATTTGAACAATTTGTTCCTTTAAGATAGATTTCTTAAAGTTAGATTGTTGGGTCAAAGGCTATTCCTATCTTTATTTTAACAGCCATTTTTACATTACTGTACAATAAAGTAGCACTTCACACTCCCAGCTGTAATTGTGTGAATTTCCTTTTCCCTTTATTCTCATTAATTTTGGATTATATAAATTGTTTCAATTTTACAAATATGATGAGCCAAAAGTTAAATCCTAGTTGCTTTAATTTGTTTTTCTGTGAAATCCTAGTGATATCAAACATCCATTCATAGGTTTATGGCCAATTGGGTTTTCCCCTCTGTGAACTGCCATTTGTATCTTTGTCTGTTTTTCTTTTCTTTTATTTATTTCTTGTTAATAAGTTCACTATCTGCTAGAAATGTTATCATTTTCTCTGTTATTTCTCCTGTCTCTTGGTTTGTCTTGCAATTTTGTTTATTGTGTCTTTTACCCCTTAATATATTTTAAATTTTATATAGTCAAACATGTCTGTTTTCTTTATAGCTTCTAAATTTCCACTTTACTTAATATCACCTGTAATCCAAGGATATACAAATATTCCTGGATTTTTAGCCAATAGTTCAATCATTGTTTTTTACAATAAAATATTTCAATCATCTGGAAATTGCTTTTATGTATGCAATCTATTTTCAGTTATTGCAATGCCTTTGTCATATTTTATGTTCCTGTATATGCTTGTGTAACTAATTGATGTAAGTTCTTATTGAGAACTCTATTTCACCTAAAACACAATAAAATTAAAAAAAAGAAAAAAAAAGAACTGTACCTGCCTCCAAACATTACAGAACTGTGTAAGAATCTCAGTGGAACTGGGTGCTAGTGAGAACAGTTACTAAATTCTCTAAAGCCAACTTGAAAGGAGAAAGTCTTGGCCATTCCCCTGTGGTTAAAGAGGCAAAACTGGTTTGATTGATGTTAACAACAAAAGATATTAGAGAGGGCACTGAGTGTCAAGAAGTGACCTGTTGGGAAAATGCAAAGCTTGTGCAGAGGGGAGTGGGGTATTTAACTTGTCCCACTCAACTCCCTTCCCACGTGACTGGAGGTGCCCAATCCATCCTCCACCCACTCTGCTAAGTTGAGATCTGACTGTAGCCATGTGTCTTAAGGATAACAAGCTTCTGAACTGGAATAACATCCCAGGTTCTTGTGGCTAAGAAATAAAGTACAGGAAAAAGACGGCAAAGCAGAAAGAAGACACACCAGTAGCATCCTGCATTCTCAACTTTTGTTGAGGCAATTGTCCATGCATTTCCTTTAGATCAAATGAATCTGTCTAGGTTCTGAACCAACTTGCCTGAAACAACTCCTCTCCCCCGACAACTGCCACTAGGTATGGGGCCCTAGCAGCAAGAGGCTGTGGAGTGGCCCAAA